CAAAACCTCTAATTCCTTTTTTTTTTTTTTTTTTTTTTTTTTGGGCTGTGCCATGCAGCTTGTGGGATCTTGGTTCCCCGACCAGGGACTGAACCAGGGCCCGCTGGGGAATTCCCAAAACCTCTAATTCTTTTTTCCATCAGATTTATGATAAATTTAAACACTCATAATCAGAAGATCTTTAAAAAATAAATTCTACAGAGTCATGCATATGTTTATTTCCTGGAAAAAAGGCAAGAAGATGTGACATTAATGACAAAACACAGTATTTGTATAATACATATGTATGTATAGGTCCTGAAATTCTTTTCCTTAGATACATGATTTAATCCTACTATTGTTTAGTAATGTCATCTAAATGATTGTTATTTTCTTATTAAAAATTATCTCCAAAAACACGAAAAAAAATCATCTCCATGTCGCTAAAAGACATAGCTAGACATATGTCTATGTAACACAATTTTGCAGAAGAAACTTTAATAACAAAAACATAAGAAGGGGCTTCCCTGGTGGTTGAGAGTCCGCCTGCCGATGCAGGGGACACGGGTTCGTGCCCCGGTCCGGGAAGATCCCACATGCCGCGGAGCAGCTGGGCCCGTGAGCCATGGCCGTTGAGCCTGCGCGTCCGGAGCCTGTGCTACGCAACAGGAGAGACCACAACCGGTCCGGGGATCCCACATGCCGCGGAGCAGCTGGGCCCGTGAGCCATGGCCGTTGAGCCTGCGCGTCCGGAGCCTGTGCTACGCAACAGGAGAGACCACAACAGTGAGAGGCCCGCGTACCACAAAAAAAAACCATAAGAATGCTACAATAGCACTTTGTTTTTAATTTTTTAATGTTTTTTTTTGGCCACACCACACAGCTTGTGGGATCTTAGTTCCCCGACGAGGGATCGAATCCGGGCCCACGGCAGTGAAAGCACCAAGTCTTAACCACTGGACTGCCAGGGAACTCCTGCTACAATAGCATTTTATATTAGTGAATAATATTAAAATTATGTAACAGTATACACTACATTAGTATGCACTTTTTCATGTTCTATTATATAAACAGCTGTGAAAATCTGATTTTTAACACAAATAAAACATAAATTCATTCACATGACTATTGCATTTTCTTTCCACTTTCAGAAACATTCCACTTAACTAGTCTTATTAAAGACTAGTGAATCATTCATTTATTCAACAAATATTTATTATTAAGTGCCCTCTATATGCCCAACACTGCAATTGGAGCTTGAATTACCAAAACAAAACAGACATGAACCCCCCCTGCCAGGAACCTACAGTTTAATTAGGCAAATACTCAAGTAAATAAAATTAGCTAAAAATTAAGGGACATATTTCACAACTTGCCAAGTGCTGCATTAAAATGTTTTATATGGATTACACCTCTTCATAACAATACGATTACTGCATGTGGGTAATTTTACCCCATTTTACAGAGGAAAACAAGTGTGGCAATGTTAAAGTATGTTCCCTTCAGGAGGTGGAGCCTAATACCCCATCCTTGAGTGTGGTCTGAATCTTGTGCATTGTTTTCAATGAATAGGATAAAATTAAAAAGTGACCGTGCAACTTTGTTGACTAGGTCATAAAGGGTGTCCTTTTTGCTCTTCCAGATGGGAAGGCAGATGCCTTGTGGTGGGAACTTACAAGTTGCCCTATGGAGAAGACCACATGGTAAGAACCTGAGGCCTCTTCCCAACAGCCATGTGAGTGAGTCACCTTCAAAGTGTCTCCTTCTTCCCAGTCAAGTCCTTCAGATGCTAGCAGCCCCTGCCAACATCTAACCTGAAGAGAGACCCTGAGCCAGAAACTATCCATCTAAGCTGTGGTATAATTACTAACCCACAGAAACTGTGAGATAATAAATATTTGCTGCTTTGACCCAATACATTTGTTACTCAGCAACAGATAACTAAGACACAGAGTTTGGAGAAGTTATGTAATTTGCTAAGGTCACAGAGCTAGGAAGTGTTAGAGGTGTTTCAGCCAGTCAGTTATAGCTAAAGTAATCATATAATTTATTGTCCAACAGGGACACTTCTTAGAGAGTAATGGGGATAGTGATAATAATTATAGTGGTTCAACAGCTATGCACCAGAACTATCTAGGGCAAACTGGGACACAGGATCAGTCTAGTTACAGTCTATGCTCTTTACTGCAACACAGCTGTCTCCTATATAAATAATTGGATAAAGTGTGACCTATCCAATAATGGAAGTATAGCACAGGGAGGGATAAACCACCTGCTCCAGTAGAGACCACTATCTACCTACCAAATATTCATTGTCCCCTTTGGTAATACTCCTATATTGTGTGATGGCAATAATGTGTCTAACTGGGAAAAACAAAGACAAAAAAAACAGCATTTCCCACCTCCCTTATAGATGACCAGAAGATGTCAGTAGAAGTTGTCATGTGGGGCTACTAGGAAACCTCTTAGAAGAGGGCTAGCTTAACTATCAGGAGCCCTTTTTCCTCTACAGTTTCTTTACAGCTGATGCCTGGGACATGGGTGTGCTGGTTGGAGCTGCAGCAGCCTCACTGCAAACAAGAGGAGGTATATTTGGTAATGAAGGTCATGATTTAAGAATTACAGCAGAAAGTCTGGGTTTCTGATAACCACGGACCCATCATTTCTGTCTTAGAGAGTAAACCTCTCTATTACGTGAGAGAAAAAATATGCCTCTATCTTTGTTTAAATAGATATTACAAGGGTTTTCAGTTATACTGTGATTAACCTAATCCTCACTGATATACCTACCTTAATTCCTCAAACAACAGATCTAAATTTTGAGTACCGAACATTTGGATTCTTACCCTATTTTGACAGAAATTGTTCTAGATATATTGACCACTCTTCCTACTTTTTAAAGTAACTAAAACAAAAGCATTGACAGCTTTCTTGATGATACAAGGTTATTACTATTTACAGAAAGCAGGGTTGGTTCACTTTTTTAGTGCCTAATAGAGTTTTGTATGCCCTGTGGAAGCTCGTTCAACTGTTGGTATTAATAAAACAAGTATGAATTAAGTTCTTGTGAGCAATACTCTTTTAGATAGGCTGGTGCCCTCACCTATTTTGTTCCTTTTAAGTGAGTCATTTGAGGGTTTTTCTAAACTCTCCACTCATACTTCCTCTAAAAACTTGAAGACTAATTAAAGATTTCCACCTTTCAGTCATTATGGAAATGTGCCAGGGGATTGTCATGAAATGTTAAATATCTGGATTTAATAGGAAATGATTGCATTCAGAAAGGAGTTAGATGCAGAGCTCTTAATCACATAATTGTATTAGATTTAGCTCATAGAAACATCAAAGAATTAAATAAAAGCTTTGGTACATGTTCAGCATTTTTGTGAAGCATAAAGGCATTTCCATAGTTAGTTTTTCTTTTGAGTTTCGAAAAAATAAACTACTATTATGGAGATAGTTACAACAATGCTACTCTTTAAGCAGAAATGAGATTCTTTAAGAAACTGAGTTAACTTTTTTATTCTAAACATTTCAGGTTATTCTATTTCAGTTCAGAATATCCTTATCATTAACAAAAATTTTGAACAGTTATTGTAATAAAATGCTTCCTATAGAGAATAAATATTTTCATACGTGTAAAATATCTAGGATAAATATATGGAAGAAAACTTCAAGGACAACCTAACAATTACATCTGACCCAAAATGCAATAGTGAATGACATTCGTAAAAAGAATTTAAGCTAAGGCTGGATGATCATTTGATAGGGATATAATAGACCTTTCTGCAATTATGGAAATATTCTGTATCTCTACCGTCTCAAATACTTACATTAGCCACATGTGAATATTGAATGCTTGAAATGTGGCTAGTATGACTGAGAAGTTAAATTTCAAATTTTATTTAATTTTAATAGTCACATGTGGCTAATGGCTCCTGAATTGGATAGTATAGTTATAGATGGTATTCACGGAGGTGAAAGAATTGAATTTGATGGATTCTAAACTCCCTTCCAACTTTGTATCGCCATAGCTGCAAAACTGAGCAGTTAAACTTTATTTCTTCTCCGTTTTCTTCCCCATTCTGCACCAAAATTTCCCTCTTTCTAATATCTGGAATTAACCAAGGCATTAATTTAGTCATTGCAGAACTACAATGTGCCAAATGCAGTGAAAAAAAAAAAAAACTGGATCTGCTCTGGCATTAATATTTCCAAACTTTTTTTTTTTTTTTTTTCGGTACGCAGGCCTCTCACTGCTGTGGCCTCTCCCGTTGCGGAGTATAGGCTCCGGATGCGCAGGCTCAGCGGCCATGGCTCACGGACCCAGCCGCTCCGCAGCAAGTGGGATCTTCCCAGACCGGGGCACAAACCCGCATCCCCTGGCAGACTCTCAACCACTGAGCCACCAGGGAAGCCCTCCAACTTTCTTGATTTTCCTCTTACTACCTTCAATAACCCTTCCCTTCTGGGACACCTCTCTCATCTTCAAATATGATGTCTAGGTAGCAGGCTGTGGAGACCGTACCTAAATGCTGGAACTTCCAGATTCACCAGAGATCTCTCTGCTTGGATGGAGCAAAGCCACAGGAATTGATGGTGTCATGCAGGAGCAATAAGCGTTCTGAATCAGATTCAAGTCGATTTTAAAGTAAAGTGATATTACTTGCACATGTGAGATGTGCATCTGGTGAGCTATAAGTAATTCCTACTATTGCCAGCCTCTTTCCCAATGTTTCCCAGGATTCTCAAAGGAGCTTCAGCCTATATGGAGTTCTCAGTCTCACTTGTACCTCAGTCCTGCATCTGGTCTGTTCATTCAACCCTGCATATACACACAAACATGGAACACAGTCCCTTTTACACTGATTCCACAAAGCAACCTAAATGCAAGGTAGTTACATGTAGCAGAATTCTGTAGAAAGTTGGAGGGTAATAGTGGAAGGGGCTGTGTTACAGGTGAACATTAAATAACTCTGTTCTTTAAAGACCTCAGCATTCCTACTGTGGCTTCTTCCTACCTGTGTCCCCTTCTCAGATTCCCAACCTCCCATCATGTTCGCACCCACCTCCACCAGGCCCTCTTCTTTCTCTTCGCCTCGTTCCCAAACCCCCATTTCTTCACTCTGGGCCAAGGCCATGTCTAAATCTCCCTCATTTTTTCATTCTGAGCAGTTCAGTCTTCTCTGTTTTGCCCTAATTTTTCAGATGTTTGGGACTTATATTGCCAGACTCAAAATTTCAAATAAAAAAGTAAGTATAAAAAACTTCTTACCCTAAAAAAGGATTCTACTTCCACATTTTGAAGTAAAATTTTCTTTTTCATATAACTACATATACTATATACCTGTATATTACTATAAAGTAGTTTCAGAAAAGACTTGGCCATGGTCATAAAATTAATAAAAGGTGTTACGGCGACTAGAAGGCAAAACTCTTGAAGAGAATTTATCCTTCCATTAAATTATAGCCATAAACAATATGGGTTAAATAAGATTTTATAAACATGTATGAGAATCTCACAACCACTTACAATGTGGTCTCCAATCGGAAAAGTTCATGAGCACTAGAAAATGGCATGACAGACACAGACATTTGGGGGGAAAAATCATATAAAAATGAAAACTGTACAGATTTTAAAGTGATTGAAAATAGCTTTATATATATATATATATATATATATATATATATATATACACACACACACAATAGAGAGAGAGAGAGAGACCAACCATACTTATGCTATTTCCCATGGGTACATTAATTAAGAATTCAAGATATATGTATATGTATAACTGATGCACTTTGCCGTATGCCTGAAACGAACACAATATTGTAAATCAACTATACTCCAATAAAAAAAAAAAAAAAAGAATTCAGTTACACTGAGAGGACCCAATGTTACACCAAGGAAATGGAACTTTAAAGAAGAAAATAATTTTTTTTCTTGAAGTTGAGTTAAAGAAGCAAGTAGACAACAATAATTATTTTCACAAAATTATGTGATGGCACCTACCACACCTTTCAGTGATGCTGGAAGATAGATTCATCTATGCTTTCACTGAGTTAAAACCTTTACTGACTCAGCACTATATGTAAAATACCATATAGTATGGTATACTATACCATATGGCATACCACATGGCAGATCCTACAGGGCTTCTAAAAATGAAGTGTTTGTCAGGACCATTTCAATTGCAAGTGACAATAACCCAGCTCACATGACCCAAAGCAGAAAGAAAATGGATTGGTTCACATAACAGGAAGCTCAGGGTTGGTTCTGGCTTGAAACACAACACAATTCCCAGGGAATGTGGTGTTTTCCCCGCACCCCACCCTCCCTTTTTTCTGCCTCTTCCTTTTCCAGCTCTACTTCCTTCTTTGTTTTAGTCTTCTCCTTGCCTACTGCTTCAGGCTCCCCAGTTGATGAGGGAAGATAGTTACCCACAATCTCAGACTATGTGTCATAGTTTAGCAATCCCATCCTAGCTAAAAATACTGCCTACTTCTCAAACCAGTATATCAACTCCAGGCAATGATTCTTATTGGCTCTGTTTATAATAATTACTTACCCCTGAACCAATCACTGTGTTCACAGGAGTGAGATATTAGGATCGGCCATGCCTGGGTCACGTAATCACTCCTGTAGCAAGGATGTGGCACAGCACTGTAGTAGATAGGATGTTCTTAATGATTCAGGATGGAGGAAGGGTAGTTCTGCAAAGAAAGGGATACAACCAAGCATATAAATACATCTGCCCACTGTGGATTGATAAGTAACAAGTCTTGTCCTCAAGGAGTTTGTCCCATATAAATCTTAGTATTTATATATGGGAAAATATCCCCACATCTGCCCCCAATTTTTAATTCCAATATTAATCAGTTATCTCAATTATAAAATTTAAATATTCCCCCAGTCCTTATTGTTATATAAATCTGGTTTTGTTAGTTTTAAACTACATGTGAAAATTACTTGATCATTGGCATAATATTTTTGTGGTGGTCAAAGGCAATGTTGGTTTAAAACTTTTTCTTTATATGATAAATGACAAATTTGTCTTTAGACACTGTGAAAACTATGTCAATCTAACAAGTCATTTCCTCAGTTAATCTTAGTTTTGTGGCTATGATGGCTTGAAAATTGTTTCTTGCCCTCACCACACACTGGTTGCTACTATATTTAGAGACAGTTTGTTTTAGCCTTGACAGAAAAACTTACCATTATTTTCATAGGCATTTTATTGGCTAGAAAGCATAATTTGTGTTATTTTCTACTCATGCTATCTTGGTATATAGAAAGAAATAAAAAACCTGATGTTTGTATCATATTTTTACTAAATGTGTCTCATGCAATAGAGTGAAATACAAGCTTTTGCTGGGTTAAGTCACTGAGATTTGTGAGCTAATTTGATACTGAAATATATCCTAGCCAATCCTGATAAATGCAGATGTGTTAAGTTGCAAGTTATCATACTTTATAAACAAAAAGATTCTCACTGTAATTACACAAATACTATATATTTTCCCTTATTACAATATGTATAATTTATGTTCTAGGCAAACACACACGTATGTTTATGTGATTTCCGAAGAGTGACAGTTAATTCTACTTTTTTCCCAAGAGAAAGGGGGAAAAATCATAATTTGGTGAGTGTCAGAGAGCCTTCAAGCCCATAAAAAGCCAGGAAGGATCTTCAATGACAACTTTCTGTACGTATCTATGATTTTTTTCTTACTCTATTTCAGTAACTTAAGTTTCACAAACAGCTCCTAAAAAGGGAGACTTCTGAGGAGAAGTTATGTTACTATACAAGAAATTGGGGTTTTCACCACAAGTTATTTCACTTTCACTGTGGCAAAGAAAATGCAGGTTGAACTCACCACAGGACCCGGGGAGATGGCAGTTGTTGAAGGTTTTATGGGTTCCCATCACCTCCTGAGAACAAAAGAGAATCATAAGAAGACTGAATTTGACTATATCTGCCACTGAGAAGCAGTGACGTCAGAAACTAAAATATCACTGGTCTGATCATCTTTCTCTTCAATTAAATAACATTGCCTTCATGCTTTAACTCCTTGGTTTTCAAATGTTTCCTGGCAGTGGAACCCTTTCTTCCAATGGCACGTTAGCAGAAATCACATATATGAGACGGATAAAAGCAGGATCCAGACGTTCCGAGGATCACCATCATCCAGCACAACCGAATAAAACTAAGGCTTTAAAGACTCACACCTGCTAGGGTTCATGATGCACCCATCACGGCACGTACACATAAGTAAAAGACTCAGCTGTTTCTATCTAGCAGATTTGCCTTTGTCTTTCTAGAGCAGCTTCAGGATATTCACCTGCAGTTGGTCTTGCCCCTCACTCCGATAAACCTCCCTGAGCATCTGTCTTTCCTATTCTCCTGCCTCCTCCTTTCATGACGCTCTAAGAAACCTGCACACTCTTTTTCTCTTTCTGCCTCAATTTTGCTGCCTTTTAAAAAATACCTACCCTCTTACTTCAAGACTTTAGCCCATATCAATTTCATTCAAAAATCTCCCACTTGGGCTTCCCTGGTGGCGAAGCAGTTGAGAGTCCGCCTGCCGGTGCAGGGGACACGGGTTTGTGCCCCAGTCCGGGAAGATCCCACATGCTGCGGAGCGGCTGGGCCTGTGAGCCATGGCCGCTGAGCCTGCGCGTCCGGAGCCTGTGCTCCGCAACGGGAGAGGCCACGGCATTGGGAGGCCCGTGTACCGCAAAAAAAAAAAAAAAATCTCCCACTAAATTTTTGTTCCCCCAGGAGGTCTGTGCTATTACTGCTTCCCTATTCAACCCCCTCCTCAATCAATCCATATTAGGCAAATGGGGAAGCTTAAAAATAACATTTTTGATTTCTATTTTATGTTATATATATAACAAATATATGTATATATAGCCACATATATATAGTCTATCTTTTTATGCAAACATTAAAAAAAAGTTTCTGTACCTGGCCATTGCATGTGTTGATGTAAATGCGCACTGCACAAATGCAAGAGCACCATTTGCAGGGCTGATGCACAATTATGTGGCCACCTGCCTCAGGCCTGCTCTGTGCTGAAGAAAATCTCACTAGGACATTCTCTCAAAGGCTGGTCTGAGGATCGCCTCCATCTGGGGTCCTCCTGTGAAAAGTGTGATCAGAATCCCAAGCCAGGCCTACTAAATCAGAATTTCTGGAAAGGAGACCTGGGATGTGCCTTTTTAACAATTTCCTTTGGGAGTTTTAGTTACTTACTGTTAAGTAGCAATCCTCCCCCTACCCCCCAAACATAGTGGATTAAAGCAATGATTTATTACTTCTCGTGATTCTATGTGCATTGACCAGCAGTTTCTCCTGGGCTCACTCATGCAACATCACTCTAGCCTGGAAGGTCCAAAATGGCCTCACTCACATATTTGTCAGTTGGCGTTGGCTGTCAGAGGGGTGCCTCAGTTCTCTTTTCCTGTGGCTCCTCAAACTAGGGGTGGCTTCTTTACATGGCATTCTCAAGGCAGTGTTCCAAGAGGGCACAAGTGGAAGCTGCAAGCTCTCCTGAGGCCTAGGCTTTCCTGGCACATCATTTCTGCCACCTCTATTAGTCAAAGCAAGTTACAAGGCCAGACCAGGTTCAAAGCATGGGAAATTGATTTCATTTTTTGATAGAAGAGTTGCAAAGCATTTACAGCTATAATCCCCAACACACCATAGTGTACTGCTAAGTATATATGAGGTACTTAATACTTTCAGCCTTCATCATCATGTCTGCAGAGATTGAAACTTCTAGAATATGTTATTCGTGGGCTTTGCTTTTAAATGAAAGTTTCTGCCTGCATTTGCTAGAAAAAAGTTGATTTGCTTTCAGGTCCTGAAACTAGGATTGTCAAAAAAAAGTGTTGGTATCTACACTCACGTTTTCAACCTACTCAAAATCAACTATGGAATTATTTTTAAAAAATCATTAATATTGCATATTTTTCACAGCTATTTTATTCAGACTTTTCTGATCAAAAATTTTCCAAATTAAAAACCAAAAGGTCAGAATTGGCTAACGTAAATTTAGTTTCCTCTTCTACCAAAGCTAATCTTTCAGTGATTTTGATAACAAGTGGTCTTAATTTAAAATAGTAAAATTG